TTGCTCAAGGCCTTTAGATCCCAGAGTTTCTTGCCCAGAGCTTAAAAGTCCCGCTTGATCCCTCCCACACCCTGCCTGGCTGTGTCATTCATCCCCACGCAGACCACCAGGAGCGGCTGGTGACCTCTGGAGGGAAGAAGATGCCATACGCTGTCTGACACATGCCAGATGTGAGTGCCCGGCAGGCAAAAGTCCCCACTCGCCTCAAGGTCAGGGCGGCACATCGCCACCTCAGTGGGTAGTAGGGAGTCCCTGATGACAATCACCCACCACTGTCTCTTCCTGGTGCCAGTAGATGGCCATGCCTTGGCCCTAGCCTCTCCTGCCGTGGTCACCTGGCCACATCTTGCCCCAGACTGGAGTTCCTGGACAGGTCAGTCCCCCAAGTCCTCATCAGCCCCAGCCTCCCCAAGCAGAAAAGACCTGGTTCCCAGCCAACAATGTGATTCTCTACACCAATGCTCAGTCCCAGGGTGTTACTGCTGCAATACATTTCAAATGAGAAAGATTTTTTTCCTGACTCTGCTATGTGGATTTCTCATCAGATTTGCTTCTTCTGAGTTGTGGACTTGTGGACCATTTTTAATTTTGTGTGGGGAGGAATGAGTGAAAATGGATATTGGAGGAGGAGGAGGAGGGTAAAAACCAATAAAAACCCACCCTGATTTCAGCAATAAACAACAAGAGTAAACAAAAGTTTTCTGGGAATCTATGAAACAGAATTGAAACCAATGCAACCCTCCCTTCAGGACACTGCCACAAGGTGTAGAGGAAGCTTTGAACTGGGCTGCATGTGCACAGATATCAATTTATACTCCTGAGCAGGTACTGCACCTGCTGGTTAAATTAAGTTCATTTTGAGAACAGACGACGTGATGGTCATGTCACTCCTGTCTTTTCTTGGCATATCTTCACCAAAAGGAAGGGATACCACCTTGTTTTTGAAAATAGCCGCGGGTCAGACTACAGCAGGGGGATGAATACCACAGACAGCAAGCATAGGAGAAATGTTGGGTGGGGCTCTATGACAATTATTCTTGGCATGAGAGTGTTGTATGGTTATTAATAAGCTCTAATGTTTTATTTGTGAAACTTTGGGAATTTATTTATTTAGCGCATTTATATGCCGTCCTATCTCATAGCCTTGGGATGGCTTACATAAATAAAACATAATACAGATAAAATCCAGATCCACCCTGCCTGCATATTAAAACCTATAAACTGATATTAAAAGTTATTAAAATATCAATGAAATAAAAAGGTCTTAGCCTGGCGTCAAAAAAGAAATAACGATGGCGCCAGGTGGACCTCTCTGGGGAGCGCATTCCATAGACGGGGCGCCACTGCAGAGAAAGCCCTCCTCCAGGTACTTTGCCTCCTAATATCTTTCGCGGAGGGTTCCCGGAGGAGGGCCTCTGCTGCTGATCTCAGGGGGCAGAAGGGCAAATATGGAAGAAGGCGTTCCTTTAGGTATCCAGGTCCCAAGCTGTTAAAAGAGACTGCCCCACCCTCCAAGTGATATGAACCAGAGCACAGGTACACCATGTTTCTGCACATAAACGCTGGACGCATATGCTCCACTGACTGCTCACAAAAGAAAACAAGCAGAAAAACCAAGTCCCATTTTGGGATGGATGGATGGCTGCTGTCTTTCCTCTTTGTCAACAAGTAGCATCTATCAAAGCAGTAATAGAAACATAGAAACAGTGAGGCAGAAGAGGTCTTCCAAGCTATCTAGTCTGACCCCCAGCTCCACTCATGTGATACCCAGCATGCATTTGTCCAATCTTTCCTTGAACATCCTCATGGATGGGGCCCTCACCACCTCCCATGAAAGCCCATTCCATATCCTAGGGGTTCCAACTACCAGGAAGTACTTCCTGATATCCAACCTGAAACCCAGCTCCTTGAGCTTTGCTCCATTGGACCACATCCTTTCCTTCACTGCAGGGAGAACCGGTCACAACCATTTACCATGTGACACTCCTTCACATACGTATATTTTGCTATAAGATTCCCTCTGAGACTCCTCCAGGCTGAAAAGACCCAGCTCTCTCAGTTTCATTTCATATGGCACCCCCCCCCCCCAGTCTGGCTAACATCATTATGACCCTGCACTGAACTATTTCTAACCTAGCTATGTCTTTCTTATAATGCGTAGCCCAGAATTGGACACTGTACTGCAGTTGTGGGCAAATCAGAGTTTTATAGAGTGGTACCAGCACCTTACTTCATCTGGAATCTCTATGTTTGATGGAGTTAGCTCTTGCCCATGCCAAGACATAATTTCAAACTAAATCCATGTCTTCCTTTTCCCTCCAAATGGGGCTGGCTGTACCTTGAGGGAGGTTTGTATTGCTTCTAGGCCTGATGATGGGAATTACTTAATTGGACTGTTTGTTTGGCCTGATGATAAACCATGGGGTTGATGAACTCGCTTCCCTCCCCTCTGACCATCCTGGCTCTACAGTGACTCCCCCTGAACAAGAGGCAGTGTGGTTATCACCAGTCTTTGGGCTAATGTGGGCCATTAACCCTGGCACTTCAGCAATACTTTCCAACCTTTCTTCTTGCTCTAGCTGACCGGAGTCTGAGCTTACTAGTCTGGAATGTTGTATTTTGAGGAAAGTGGGCCCAGTCTCTACAGGTGTAAACACAAAATCTGGAGCGAACCAGATCTAAGTAGATTTAAAAACTCCAGTGGTCACTTGAAAATGAATGCAGGTATGCTTCAGCTGTTGTAATCATCAGACCTAAATGATACCTAGCTAAATAGGCACCATTATGAAGATGGTGCAGCAAGATGGAGGAAATACATATATTTAAGAGAATCTCTTACAGACATGTGTTTGCACATATACACACCCAGCCTCCCTGTAATTGAGGTGTAACCTTCACCACAATTGTCCCCAGCACCTCATTTTATCTATTTCCCATAGGTAAGTGGATGGCGTCAGCTTGAATGACCTTGCCTTCTGCCTTTTTAAGAAGCAGGACAGGCCTCCACTTTTAATTAATTAATTAATTATTTTTGGTGGACCAGCCCCACTTTGTCTTCTAGTAGTAGATCACACTATTGAAGGCACAGGTCCTGCACTGGAGTCCTTTACTAAGCAAGGGGTTGGACCCAATGGCCTTATTGGTCCCTTCCAATCCTACTATTCTATAATTCTATGTTTTTCCTTTCGCTTTCCATTGGTAATAATCTGTTGGGTTATACATGCTGGTGGCAGATGAACCTGAAGCCAGTCACGGGTTAGGCCATTCTGACACTCCTGTTCTCCCTCTCCCTCTCCCCCGCCAACATCCACCTTGCACTTTCTTCTCCTCTTATTTCTCTCCCAGTCAGTTGGCAGCGTAGAAATTTGCCAGTGGTCTGAAATGATCCCTCACTCATCACTTCGGCATTAAGACAAGGGCTGCTGGCAGCTGTAGGGCTGCAGGCTACCCACCACCTGCACGAAACAATGGTGGATTGTTGCAATCTGATGATAGATTATATAGACAGACAAGATACATGAATTATAGACACACAGACAGCTGGATAGATGAAACATGGACGGCCAGATAGACAAATGGAGCACAATATGTGGCTCATTTTTGTTTAACCCTAAGTGCACATAATAGGAAGAAAAGCTTGAGAGAGGAAATCATTCGCCACACCTTATCAAATACTAGATTTGGTAATTCTTCATTGAGAGGGGATTGCTTCCAGCACTATGCAGTGGGATGGATCTAATGAGACATTTCCCATTTCTGATTATTCTATTCCCAAACAATTCTTGAATGAACAAGTGATGTTTCACCCCACTTTAAGATGAATTCTAATCGGAGGGCACAACTACATGTTACTAGAGAGAGGAAGGTGCTTCCCGAAACATCATCTCCGTGTTGAGTTCATCACCCGGTCCTCATGATGTTGAGTAGCTTTCACAGTTTTACATGAGGTACATCTCCTTGTGGAGGCCAGTGAAATGGCTTGGAGGCAGGAAAGTCCACAACGTGATGCCTTCACTGTATTTATTTAAAAAAAAAAATGTGTCCACTGCCCTATACATTTGCTTTCAGAAGTAAGATAAACGTGTTATAGGCTAAATAATAAAATTATAACATCTACAACACAGTCTCAACTTAATAATAAAAAAGGAAAATTAAAAACCTGTAGTACCCCAGGGGACATTCCTCAAATTAAAATACCTTGGAAGATTAAAAAAAAAATTGTGGCATTGGAATGTAAAGTGAACTCTAGGCACATGCTTTGTAGTTGTTTTTAGTGAGGCAATGCTTTGTAGTTTTGTTTTTAGCACATGCTTCGTAGCTGCTTTTTCTACAACCAGCGCATCCCCACCCAGAAGGCTTTCTTCAGCTTGTGCATTGCCTGACAGAAAGGCACATGGAGGACAGCTTCAGCACAAGGTTTCTAAACATGGGTGTCATGCTATGAGATGATGGCTCTCAAGCATTGGAAGAGAACGGGAGGGAGGGAGGGAGGGTGTATGGATGGGCGGATGGGCGGCTGCACTTTTGGTGGAAGGCCCTGATCTCAAATAATGTGTTCTGCCTGTAATGTTACAATTATATGCCAGTAATTTGAATAGATGTGGACTTGGATCCACTCCACTCCCAAGAATGGTGCTTAGTGCTCCATTTTCCTTTCTTGAGATTGGATCCAGATCGAGGCCTCCTCACCCCCACCCTGCCACTCCTCTTCCACATGGCAGTCCCTCTACACCTCTGAAAATGCTACACAGACAGTAAGGATACCCTGCTAAATGGGCTGTTCTGTGATGCAGGGGGAGATGGCCCCTCCTGTCAGAAGGAAGATTCTAGATCTAGCCCATAATACAGGATGATCACTTGTGCCCTTGGCTATACTGGCCTCATAGAGAAGGTAATACATGTGATGAAAAGCAACAAAATACAGTTCAGGGTGAGCTTATTTCATGCTGCCGCCACCAACAAGGGCAGCAGCAGCAGCACGATGCACAGGATATGCTTACCTGCATAGAATTCTGGACTATAGACTGCACCAACAACTGGATTTAATTTCCAACCTAAAGTAAACACATGAGATAAAGATAGATATCATGGTTATTACACATCGTGTATATACAGCCCATCCAGAAAGTGGCTGTCAGAGTTCTGTTGCCAAGCTGGTCATACGCTTTGGGACAGTTTGGAAGAGAGAGTTCAAGGGATATCCCTTTAATGTAACCTAAACATGCAAAGTGGGAGAAAACTAATTTGCAATGCATAAGGGAGATTTGTTTCTTTTTCTGTATTTCCCTACTTTTAATGTTTCACTTATGTATTTACATTCCTGGATTGGACATAATTGTTTTCAAACATTACGTTGACCAGCAAGAGACAAAGAGTCAGTTCCAATGGTGAGGAAGACCATGTGAGACACTCCCACATACGATGTTGCTGGATGCTTTGGGTAGGCTGACTAGTTCAAAAGGACCCAATTCTGGAGAGTGTGACTGCCACTCAGGGATTGTCCTCTTGCGCTGTCAGGATAAGGTGCAATTAGGGGTGCCAAATTAGTGCAGGGGCACCCAGGGGTGAGTCACGCAAGGAGGCATGTAGGGTGGTGTAGCCATTTAGGAATTGCCCCAAAGAAGACATTGTATGGATGCAAGAATTTGCATTTGCTGATGCACATTTCAGTAATTATTGCACTTCAAGAGCATCTAAGCACAGTACAGAAGATGGGGGCCACCTTGCCTGCAGCAGCCTGCTATCCAGGTGGGTGCATAGAGGAGCATCCTGTTCTTATAGCTCTGTATCTTAACCAGCACTTGGGCTGGAGAACCTTTTAAACGGAGAACACCTTCAAATGAATGACACTCCACTATGGGCTCACCTCTTCAAAGCTTCATCAGCTTTTTCTGAGATGACTCCAAGAAGTCAATGGTTTGGTTTTCTGACTTCCAGGTCAGACCTAGGTCTTTGCTGTGGGTCCTCCTGGCCTTGAACTTCTGTTTTGTTTCTTTTGCTGTTTCTCAATCTCCATCCCATGCTCCCCGGCATCATTTCTCTCTCCTTAGGGAGCCTCCCCATCTCCTCCACTCAGCTCACAAAGATTCTCTCCCTGTGGTGCCCTGACATGGTTTGCTGCAGCCAGACTGTTGGTCTGGCTTTAATATCACTGGTTTTGTGATAAACTGGCTATCCCAATTTGACTGTTCCAGACTGTGTTTTTATGGCATTAGCATCCTTCTCAGGAACTAATGCTTGACCCTGTAAACCCACTACAAGACCCCTCTGAGTTCCTGCACAATCAACACAGAGCATGTGCCCAAAGTGGAGACAAGCAGCATCAACAGCCTCAAACCAAGTGAAGTCCCTTTACAAACTGAATATAAACTAAGCAGCTAAGGAAAGGACCTTCTTAGCAGCAGCGCTTCGTTGTCTGTGTGCCTACCTGAGCACAGTGCACTTGCGGAAAACCTTGCACCTAAATAGCTTCTGCAATAACTTCGCCTTCTTTTTTAAATTTTGGAAAATGCCAAGACCTTTGCATTTATCCAAGCTTTAGCTGGTTTTTATTGTACAATAAAACTATTTATTTGTAATTTTTTAGACCATCCCTTGCCGTGGTCTCGGGATGGTTTAACAATAAGACAAAATAGTATAAAACAGCATCCCAATCAAATTGGTAAGCAAAAAAACCCACCGCATATTAAAAACAGTCAAACCTTAGAACATTGGGAAAATAAAAAGATTTTAGCCTGGTGCCAAAAAGAATAAAGTATAATAAAACTACTATACTTTTGTCTTGTGCCCCCCCTACGTGTGTGTGTGTGTCTTTTTAAAACAACAATACATCACACATCTTTGCAAATACATGCACTAGGAGATATGTGTACAAAAATTGATGTACCTTTTCCCTTGTTTTGTTTTTACTGCATTTCTTGAGATTGTTGGGAAAATTTGGATAAATTCTGTCAGAAAAACATTGCTTCTGTGTGCTTTTGCATTGTGGAATCAATCCTGTACTCCTCAAAAGCACCAGCTTTCCAAGCTAAGTCACTGTTTAAAATGGCCTTCCTTCCCCCGCTCCTTTCTCTCACATTTAGCTGGAACCTACAGTAGACAGGCCATTTAGTCCAAATATACATTATGTACCTTCACAATGATTAAATAATCATTGTTGGAATTCAGTTTACCAGGAAGTGTCTTTTGCTAGCCCAGAGGGCTCCATGTGCCCTGGCCATTCAGAATGGTGTGGATGCATTACTCAGGGTCTGAGTATAGATGAGCTTGTGAGTTCATGAATAGTTTCTCAGAAGCTTGAATTTACATGTCTAAGCAGACCTGGAGATGGGTTCAAGGTACTCAACTAAACTGTCAATACACTGCAATTAGAAATATTGTAATCTCATTGTCACTGTATGATTGGCTGATCTTCCTTTATCTGTTCTGTATGTGATGACCTCAGAACCTTATTGTAATGTCTGCATTCTGTCATCAATTGCCCTGTACCTGTGACTGACTGGGAGAGTATAAATGCCCTGTAATGGTATTGAAGCTTTGCAGCAGAGTTTACCTCTGCCTGCACGGTAATGCATTATCGTGAGTCTACCATGGGAACCTGGGTCAAACAATAAAGCCACAGATGGTCTGAACGCTTGATCCTTCCCATGAACCCAAGTTTTATTTCCTCCTCACAAATTGAAATTCCGGGATTTTCTGACAATTTGGCGATGAAGGTGGGATCGTGGGTTTTTGGCCCTTTATCCTGGGCGGGAGAGATGGTAAGTTTGGCTGGAATTCTCTCCACTGGGGGAGCACAGATACTGGCCATCTCTTCCGTTTTGCAGGTGGGTCAATGTAATTAGATCTGGTTTTGAACCTCATTACACGTTGGCTTTGGTTGTGGACACCCAGGAAGCACGGGGGTTTCAGAATCTCGGCTTACTACCCCATGGACACCCCTGCATCAAACTGCAGGGTGGTGTGGATGGCCATGGGCGGCACCTGCGGGGTTGTCGTGGAAGCACTTGGTATTTTTATGTAAAACAGCATGGTCAAACCTAACTCAGAGATTCCAATCTAAATTGACCCCAGAGGGCTCATTTGATTAGAACTGGCTACACCTCTTGCAAAAGCATCTGGAAGAAATACATCCTAAGAAGATGGAAAGCAGGTTGGATTGTTTCAAGCTGGTGGAGGAGAAAAAGCTAGCTAATATGGTATTGGTGCACCAGGAAAGATCTACACGTGTGAGTATATGTTTGCACTGGGGCTTGTGTAGAGTTCTATGTTCACTGTTGCTGTCTGTATTTTCTGTCTTGTCTGTGTTTTAAAGTGTTCCCCTTTCTGGGAGGTAGGAATATCCCAGAGTGGGTTTTGGGGCTGAAATAGAAGTTCCCCATGCAGCCGCCCCAATCTGTCCTTTTCAGGGCATGGTTGAAAGCAAGGGCGTGGATGGGTGTTCTTGCCCCTGAGATGAGAATATGTGAACCTGGCTTTGACTGAGAAATAGATTCATGAGGTCATTTGCCTGAGCCCAAGCATGGCTGAGTCCGGCTGGGAAAAAGGTGATGACCAGGGAAATGTGTGTGTGAGATTCTTTCCTTCCCCCATTCCTTCTATATGAGCTAGAACTGGGAAGTAAGGAAATGTGTGGCCCTTGAATTGGGCTTGCAAACACAGGTCCTACCCAGTTTTCTGGACATTCTCAATAAGCTTATCCTGTGTAAAAGCCCGCTATGAAAGAGGGGTTATATAGAAACCTTTTATGCAGGTCCTTTCCTTGTCAGAAACCAGGAACACTGTTTTAATGTCCTGCAAGTTTTTCAACTTCTTCCATCTGCCTTACAGCCCTCCTAGGTAGGAAGTTTTCCTTCTTGTTAGATTAAATAATTGCATTTGAAATTCCAGGAGGGGATGCAGATGGGCAGATGAAAGATTAAAAATAAAAATGTATATACTGTTGAGAATTCTCAAGAGTAGGAATCCTGAAAGGATTCCCAGAGAGATAAAGGGTTTTTCTTTTATATTTTGGGGATATTTGCTGGTAAAGTCTTGGAAATTTGAATGGTTGTGTTTAGCAATTAGCCTGAGCAGTTGCAGGCTGGAGTTCAACAGGGGAGAGTATAAAATCAGGGGAAGACAGATTGCAGTTAACCATTAATAAATATTTCTGCCCAAATTGGCTGGTTTTTCTCCCCCTGTTGAACTGCAACTGTTTGGAATGTGAGGTTTGAGTGAAAGGCAAAAATATTTCTTTTCCTGGATGTTGTGTGTATGCCATGTGAGAATAAGAGTATGCATTTGACAGGAATTCCTTGATTCAAGGGGTGCATGGTGCTTGGTGTGAGAGAATTTTAAGCGTTTTGGTAAATGGTGATTTGGTATTTTTTTCTACTGGAAAAAAAATGGGAAGAAATGTGTAACTTTTGGAGTAAAGAAAAAAAAAATGAATGAAAAAAAGGAGGAATGGTCTACCTTGCTAAGAGCACTCCCGTTATTTAAGAGACAGTAACTGCAGCCTCTTCTCTGGGTTTGGTCTGGCCAACTGAATTCAGGGAAATGTGTGCTGGAAATTATGGATTTCTCGACTCTGTGGGCTTGGCCATTCCACAGAGCCAAGAAAAGGGGGGATGCTCTGGCAGGAAGGTACCACCACTTTGTGAGTACTGCAGAAGCAGCACAAAGCCTCTGAGCATGTGCAGAGTTCAAAGTACTTTGGGAAGTTTGAGCGGCTCCGCTTCCAGCCACAGGTTGGAGGCGGGCTTGCACTAGTTCTCAAAAGAAGTCTTGGAGTATCTAGAAAACTCTCAAAAGAAATCTTGGTGTCTTAAAAAAATAAAAAAAAATTGTGTAACTGAGGCAAGGCATTTTAGGTTCTTTGAGTGTTCAGAGCTTGTATTGCCTCAGGAAAAATTCTGCCTGGGAAGGTTTGGGTTAAAACAAAGACCCTTAAGCACTCTCAATGAGGAGCTAGGGGATTTTTTTAAGGAAGGGAATCCTTCCAAAAAGCAATGTTGTGAGCATGTGTCAATTATTTGTGTCAGCCATCAAGAGTTTTCCCTCTCCAATAACT